GTACCACCGAGAGAAAGGAATAAAAAGAGGTAATCCGGATCATTGAGAGTTGGTTCGTTTTACATCTTGCGGACCGAGGCGTTTTGTCCTCACCACTCAGTTCGCAGCAGTCCTTCTAAGGGGATTNAAGTGTAGCATGTTGGTCAGAGCGGAAGCTATAGTGCATTGTTTCTTCTACTCAGGGGGTTGCGTGACAAATGACGGTCAAGGAAGTAACCACCAGCATTCTGATGTTGCCTATCCTGCGAAAAACTCTTCCAGCTAGGAGAACACACCAAAACCAACATTTACATGAATTGCTTTTCTAGTCTATGGTTTCCCCCTTAATTACATTTGATATCAATTGCGACGGACTAGCCGGTAGATAAATCAACGCAGACTAGCTTGTTTACTACTGGTTTTCCTAAAAATATTACTGTTATCATACTGAAGCGAGAACATGTGTCCAAAGCATATTGCAACTCAGATAGCACTTAAATTCAAATCTCCAAAGTCCGGTGAGGTGACAATTTTTGGTGGAAAAACATGTAAAATGCTAGCTGGAACGAAAGCGTTTAAATACTGATTGGGACGTAAGTGTAATCGCGTCGTGGGCTTAGATAGTCGGTTCGCATAAATAAACACTGTCCTACCCATGGTCGTATCTAGTCGTTTAATCACATAAAGCAGGATTGCTTGCCACTCTTTCTTTCTTAGGCAACTGGTGAACCATCCCAATATCGTAATAATTCATCCTCGAACGCGAGGTAATAACATCAAATGCGGAACCAAAAACAGTCACTCTCGTTCCTCAATTCTCGAACGAATGATCCTATTGCAGTGAGCTGAGCTACATGCATCATTTATTATTATTGGTAATGAAACATAATCACCGTACAACAAAAAACTGGGAGTCGAGCTTCACTGATCATTGCCAAACTCGCAATTCATACAAATTTGACGAACGGTCTGGTTAGTTCCTTATAGACCTTCACTTGACCAGAGGTGAGTACAGTGACCTCAGTAAATTAACGTACATCTGCGACGTTCCTTCTCGAAGAAGGAAACCCATCAGAGCTTCGCGGTCAACTGAGTCAAATCCTCCCTTCGGATCAAGGAACACTACGATCGTTGGTCGACGGTGGGTGTGAAGCTGCTCAAGGACGTGACGCAAAGTAAAAGTTTGATCAACACACCCACGCCCAGGCAGAAATCCGGCTTGCTGTTCATGGATGTTAGTCTCTCTTAAAGTGGTTAGACATCGAAGTGGGACGGAGGCTAACAGTTTGGTGACAATTGAGATCAAACTCATCCCGCGATAGTTTTCGCAATCGTTGCGAGATCCCTTCATAAAAATGGGAACTATCAGTAATCCGCCTCAATATGAAAGAATGCTCTCTTCTGTGTCAATGTTGTGTATGTAGTTAGTGATAGGGAAAAAAAATTAAAAACGAGATTAACGTCTATCCAATTCTGTCTACCGAATTGTATTCGACCTAACTAAGGCGAAACTGTCACAACAAAAAAGAAGTCGGTTACGCATATGATTGTGAGAATTTCATCTTGAGCGATGAAGGACCGTTAATTCCAAATTGCACTTTATCACTTGTATCGATCGAAAATTCAGGTGATTGCTTTCAACACTGAATGGAGTTAATAAGTACTAATGCGAGGACAATATGACGAAGCCATATAATCCCGCTCTCACCAGACCCCATACCGTACAATGCTTTTAAAAATCGATATTATCTGTTGCACACAGACATTGGAAACTGTGAAGACGGCCGTGGAGTTCTACGAAGTGTGGTAATCTCCCCTCACCTAAAATCCTTATTTACCTGGTCAACCTGTCCCCCCTTTGGTGCAATTTTCCAGATAAATGACAACGATATAGTTCTGCCGCATTCGGTAGCTTACTATTCCGTCACACCTCCTGGGAATGCAATCACTAATTTTCATGTTCACCAATGTTCCCTTTTCGACAGAAACGTAAATGCACACTGAAATTGACATCAGAGATGAAGCAATACGCGGCTGATGTGTTGCCGCAAATGATTCAACAGTCTTTTGGACGTACCGATTGGTCAAAAGAGAACCGGAAGGCCGAATGGTGGGGAACAGTGAACGCAGATAGATGGATCGCCATGGATTCATCTCGAATACCGCGAAAACGATTGAACTTCTTCCTGCACTAAAACTTGCTATATATACACATATCAGTTACAATTTTGTATTTATGCAACCAATGACGTCCACTGAACCGAATGATCTCAGTTAATACACTTAGGTAAAACAAAGCCGATGATTGACTTTCAGAAAGATAAAAAAGTTGTAAAACACGAAACAGAATAACACACAATCGCGAAGATTTTTATCTTTTGGGGAGTGAAAATACGTGGAACCGTGAGCTAACACGATTCCCAATGCAATACGTGTTACCGGTTCACAGTTTTTCAAAGGCAGCTACGGAGGTCATCCAAAGGCAAATCTCGTCAAGACCATCGAAACTGACAGTGATTCATAGGGCTTTTTCTACTTCACATTTTAGCCGTATGCATTATAACTGGATTTTAAAACAGAAAATGAGGGGCATGAAGAGAAAGAATGAAAATTTTCAAGATTTAATGCATGATTGACCTAAAGTAACGGATTGTTGAGTNACCGAACAACTTCCACAAACGACGATTATATGCGCGATGTAGTATTGGATACAAAATGCATCACTGTAAAACTATCGTAAAAGGGGAAACTGTTATTGATGACTGTGTACTGTTAGACAGTCTTGTTCTGCTGTTGATCTGAAAGCAGCTTTCGACTCGGTCAACCGCTCTAAACTCTGGCGCTGCCTTTCTCTGAAAGGTGTGACCGAAAAGTTAACTTCAATATTACGATCGCTTTATACTAATAGCCGAAGACGAGTCCAGGTTTACAGCAATTTTTCGCCCGAGTTCACCACGGAAAGTAGTGTTCGTCGGGATTGCCCTGTTTTTCCTTTTCTATTCATCTTTGTTATAGATTTGACTATGGGAACAGCCCTAGCCTCATGCGAGGATAGCGGTATACACTTACTCCCAGGAGGCAGACTGTCTGATCTAGAGGACGCAGAAGACATTGTGCTGCTAAGTGAAGATCAAGGTAAGTTACAAGCTTTTCTGGATAGTTTGAGTGCTAGTGTAGCCATGTTCGGCATGCGTTTTGCACCTTCAAAGTGTAAAATGTTACTATAAGACTGGGTTGGTCCAGCACCCAGCCTCACTCTAACTGGGGAAGTAATAGAGCAGGTGGATAAGTTTTGTTATTTGGGCAGCTACATCTCACCCGGTAGACGCATCACGGATGAAGTGTCAGCTTGGTTTGCATTTGCTAACTNCGTCGCGACATCCGGCTGTCTATGAAGGGTCGAGTGTATGCCGCGACAGTTCGGCCAGTCCTGCCATACAGTGCAAAAACTTGGCCATTAAGAAAACAGGACAAAGATAGACTGTCAGTGTTTGAACACCGCTGTCCACGCAGCATCGCACGAATCTGGTGAGGAAGCCGGATGAGCAATGCAGAGTTTTGGATAGCCACGATCGCTCACTGGAGCAAGTGGTCGACCTCCATAGATTACGTCGGTTGGGACATGTGTTACGCATGTCACCAGATAGGTTACCACAGCGAGCGGAGTTCGCCGAAGCAGATACCGAGTGGAAAAAAGCCAGGGNGCCAGGGGTGGTCAAGCCAAGACCTAGCACGAAGGTATGAAAACCCTAACCAGGAGATTGAGTCACATAGGTCCTGTTAGGCTCCGTGGCTGGGGACCTCGGGATGATCGTAACTGATGGTTAGAGACACTGAGTGATATGGCTGGTTGGCACAAACAATGGTGTTCGTGCATCTTCTCAATTTCCTTGCAACCTTAGACCACTGAACTTCTCCATTTTCTGTTCGACTCCACTTTCAACTTTCCTCTCCTATTCTTCATCCTCAAAGACAGCAACCAAAATCGGCGCACGACTATGCGTAGTTCATGGTCGTACAAACTGAAAAAGCTCTGCTGTTGGAAGCATGGGCCAGGCTAACCAAATACGGATATTGGCATATCTTGACGCAAGAAAACATCCCCAAACGAAAAGCTACTACTCAAACAGTGACGAACAACAAAATGCATGAACTACTGACGAAGGCACAGACTCACTAACACCTGTAGATCATAGTCGCCTCAGCTCTCGACAGGATGTTAGCAAAGGTCGTAGGACGAGAAATCGCGATTTCGATATAGACGATTTGAATCATGCGACAGTTTCGTTTAAAAAAAACATCTGTTCAAGGAAAGCATACCCAATGACTGTCGACCGCGAAGTAGAGCGAGAATAAGTGCCTGTTTGGTCAACCATGTATGTATTGGGAGCAAAAGAACCAAGAGGACGAAAATGTGCTGAGATCAGGCGATTTGAACATCTCGCAATTTTTCCGCTTTGATGGATACACCGGAAGCATTTTTAAGCGTCCAGCGGGCGCCCTTGTAAGTGGCAAAGCCCTCTTGATCCACACGTAAGTCTGGTTTAACTTGTTCGAAAATCTTCTTCTTGGGTTTCAATTGATCATCCGGATTATCTAAAAGGGGAAAAGTATGTATATAATTTTAAAAGTTGGAGCAGCACCTAATTATTTGTTTTCTTTTTCCTAAGTCCAACCGAAAGGTCAATAAAAAACAACACAACAAAGTACAATACAGCATATAAAAGCCAAATACAGGAACTCAGGGAATCTGATTGATGTCAAGTTGTTTGTTTAGTTGATTACGTCGACGCAAGTGAAATAGCAAGGCTGTATACCAACACAGAACAACTCCAGCAGTCAAAGAATGACAGACAGGTAGCTCAACACTAGGTAGGGCTTAGTGTCGATGTGACTGTACAATTTGACCTCATCGAGTAACAGAAATAAAAAAACATGTCTGACAGATTGTTCCGCTTATCTTGAAAAAGCAGGATCTCCAAGAGTATTTCGAACACACACAAAAAAAAAAGACAGAGTAAGCTAGCTCCAGTGTGTCTGACCGATGTCCTGGTTTTTCAGTCCTGGCAATACGACTGAGGCATCCGTTATCACTGTTCCAATCCTACAATTTTCATTGTCTATTTATAAAATATGAAATTTCATTGAATCCAAGTCAAGCGCCATCAATATTATCGGTAAAGATAACTCGTCTATCTTTCGACGTTGGTATCTGTATTCTTCAACGGTCACGGATGGACCTTTCACCGTTTTGTTGCTGACAGTAAGTATATTATAACTTGCCCAGTTGATACTTTTAATAGGGACGCAATAACGATGTTGAATAACTGAATGAGATGGAAGAATCTAGCAACAAGATATTGTGTTTACGCTTGGCAATCTACTCCCAAGAGCTTCGGTATCATCAATGAAATTAATGCGATGAAAGTGATGTTTTAACTTTTTCGTATGCAGAAGCCCGCTTTTTTGTTTTGGATGAAAAGAAAAAAATACATTGTCAAAACCTGCAATCAGGTTGACAGAGAAAAGTTCGAGTCATCAACTGAGAGAACTATTTTGCCGCGTTACGGGTTAATATACACTCGACGCCGGTTGGACACGAAGCTCATCAAAGAAAATGAAGGACGAAGGTCTGAAGCTCTAATATCAAACCCTGTGTAGTCCGTTTTTAATTGAGCCAAATGCTTATTTTAGATTCATCTTTGTTACAGTTTAGATTCGATGAAACCATCTTCTTTAGACAATATGACCAGGGTCATAAAAGAAACATTTTTGCTAACATCTTTACATCTAGTGGAGGATTCTGATAGTTATTTCAATCGCAATTATCCATCCATTGCAAGGGTCAAGTGTACTATTCTGATTTCACTTGACAGGTAACAAAACTGGAAAATGTATTTTAACAATTAGCATGAAAGAGCGTCGTCCGTAAATAAGACCGGTTGATACCAAATGACTAGAGGGCTGGTCCAGCCGTGTAAACTTGGAGGAATTCCTAGTAGCCCTCAATCACATATGAATTTTTCACCTAATTGACCTTGGTTGAGGAGCATTACCTTATATTTTTAAGGTTACTTTTACCGGCGAGAATCAAGCCAATGAGTGAGAGAATACCCACGCAGTAAACCTGTCCAACCGCAGTGGACTTTATCATTACTGGCTACTGACAAGTATACAAGTAGTCAGCATCTGAATACGGTTGTCACGTGTGTGAAAAAGGTAACGTCACCGCTAACTAGCAATCTCAGGAAGATAAGTTACGAAAGCAGGCTTTCTCACGATAAGACCAGGGAAAATTAGGATTAACCGAGTATAAGTTCGTATCTGGAGAAAAGAGGACCGAAATGGTAGATCGAGTGAAAAGGTTACTTACAATTCACCTCCCAAAAACTGAGGATGAGCATTACCTCATTTTCACCACGGAAAACATTCCCACCGAGTACAATCACCAAAGAATACAGTCCCTGATCGTCTACTACTGCCTATTAATTCACGATCCATGATGAACTGTCATCTTTACATACAGTCTCGTCGACCACCGCATCAGCCTTTGGCTAAGCCAAGAATCAAACGGTGAAACGTTGAGAAACACTGATGATCTGGCTTAAAAAACCTGCTGGGTATTGCGGCCACAAACAAATCACAGTGATTTCATGGTAGCAAGAATGTTTAAATCGTAACTAGTATGGCAGATCATTTAAACCCAGACGGGTGAAATACAAACGTAAATAGCAGTTCAAATGTGAAAAACCAGACTGGATTAAAACCAAGTTTCACTAGGACAGCAATTGTGGAGAACGATTTCTGGGAGACGAATGACAGCAATAGTCACAGAAGGGGTAACCACTTTTGTTAAGGTAAACAAATGATCACGTATTAAAAATGTGAGAATACAAAAGCTATCTATTCGCTTGGCCAGCAAAAAAGAGTTCAGCCTCTATTAAGAAATGCCCGCTGGAATAATTCAGCTAATGTAGCATGACACTTGGCTTCAGTCTTTGTTTCTTAATTCAGATGACGCAAGGCAGATATAACATCACGTCGGGATTAGCTGGAAAATCGTTGAGAACGGACCTATCCAGTGGCAGAAAAACATAAAAGTATAAAAGTAAGTACAAGGGCTTGTGTTGAATGCTTTCTGTTTGATCGGTAGGGCAGGATTACGTGAATTGAGGTCGAGGGGATCTCGTGTAATACTTCGTTGGGATTCCTGAATACAAGCACAAAAGTGCTCTTGTCTTTTTATTTTTTAAAAGAGGATTTGGTTCAATTTCAAGGAGAAAATTCGTTGTGCATAAAGCAAATGAAATATGAACTAAAAAGCTAGGAAGCACTGTGCAGCAGTTTCGACCTAGTCTCATCAGCAGTGCGAATCTAGCGGCCCAACTGGGGATCGAACACGGGACCTCAAAGGCAGAACGTAAGCGCGCTACTCACTCGGAGACTAGTGCTGAGATGAGCGACGGGCGATGCCCGCGAAGATGAGCTGTGATATATCATGTAAACGGAAAATGAAAAACGGTCTGATCAGCTGCCCAACTGATCGAACTGGGTGGTCCAACTGAATGCAAATCAGCTGTGTGGTGGCCGTTAAGCTGCAGATGACAGCTACATAACAACTTGCAGATGATGCGTTTGAACCCAGCCACCATTATCCTACACGTTAATCTGTTGAGGCAGCCATCATTTGGCAGAAGTCGACCTTATGAACAATGATCGCACCTCTGTTTCATATCAAATAAGCGAAAAGAAGATGGCTGCAATTATTATCACTAGTTACGGATTTCGATAACCAAGGTTGTTCATATGCGAAATGCCAGTGATCGGACAAATAAGTGAGATGGGAGTTTCAAATGCGTTCCTCATCTATTTGCTTCAATTTATCAAAAACGAGCTCATTCGGTAATCGCGTTGTTCCTTTAAATAGCCAGTGAACCATAAGATGAAAGCTACGGTATTCGCTCAAAGTAAGTTCCAAAATAATTCACACAGTTACGCAAATTTGAAAAGTAGCTATCATACGGGAGACGAACTTACGTGTATAGCCAGGAACAATCACCGAGTCACCCACGGTCACGGCATCGGAGTCAATGATTAGAGGTTCAACACCACCAGCCTCCGGAGCACTGGCACACATGAGCATTGCTTCCGATTCAACATCTCGCATTTTNNTAAAGCCTCTATCGGAACGAACTTGACCAAACCACTCACGACGGTTCGTAGGCGACCCTCACCCAGATCGACCTGAGAAAAGGGAAATGGTGGTAGGTTGAGGATAAAGCAAAAAGACATTTCTTACAAGTCCGGCGGGTGCTCTTCAATTTATGCAAGTGAATTACGAACGGTTACGAACCAATTAAAGATGCTATTTCCAAAGCACCATTATTCCCAGATTGGCTTCATCAATTTTTTGCGTGCTTTGGTTGGGAAACGCAGGTAAAGAAATTCCCAAACACAACGAAACTCCTAGACCCTAAATGGGAAAAGGAACAAGCTCCAACTGAGTGGTGTGAAACGGTCATATTTCCGATTTCCAAGAGAGGCGACATATCTTGCGAAAATCACAAGCAAGACACTGTAATCAACATCGTGCTACGGTATTTGCAGCAGCAGGTAGTGAATGGAGAAAATCAACCATGGTCAAACTACAACGAGACATGAGAGTGGGAGAATCCTAACCAGGAGACTGGATCGTATAGGTCGCGTTTAGCTTCCTGGACGGGGACCTCGGGATTAGTGCAACCGATATTTAGAGACACCGAGTGATATGGTTGTGTGGTAACCAGTGACGCTTGTGCATCTGCTGAACCTTTTTTGCAAACTTGATCTTTTTTATTACACACGTGTATGGTGAACAGCAGACGGAGTGGAACCCAAAGTTGCGAAGACCTGCTGTTCAGTGATCGAAACCGAAAACCTAATCCCGAGACCTGGAGTGGCGAATTAAATAAGGCCCCGCTAGGTCAGGCGTGGTACACTAGCATTCACCATTTTCTCTTTGACATTGCTCTCAACATTTCAATCCTCATTCTACTCTTTTATCCACATCGGTAACTGGAAGACAGCAACCAAAACTGTCGCCGTATAACAGCGTCAATTTGGAAAATAGGCCAAAACAACTCAGATCGGAATAGCAGTACATGAGAACCACATGTTACTTATGACACATTAAACTATGTACCTGAAACCCGTTCGTAGTCATTGAATAGTATAACAAAAAACGATCAAAACAATCGAACAACCGGAATGAAGTTCAAGTAATCAGTCCGAAAAAGAAGAGATAGCAAGCTGTGCAAAGAGTTCATGCAGCAGCCCGAGTACAGTGTGTTTGCATGTGTTCGTTTCAATGCAAATAGATGTTAGAAGTGATGTGGTCAACGAGGAATCACTGAAGTATACATTATAACGGATCAGTACTATGCTCTTCCAACTTGATTCGCGATTTTGAGCTGTTTGCATGTAAAAGCAATCCACGAAAATCGTTTCAAAAAATCTGTCATTCTACCTAGTTCTGATTCAATATGAAACTAATTCAGCTTAGAAGAAAAGATGAAACATATTTGTGGGGTGGGTGGGTGGGATAACAATATTCAAACCTTGCCAAAACGTCCTCAAAAGATATATATAAGACGACATTTATAAGTGCTACTGTCACATCACCTTTTCCACGTAAAGAGAATCAGCTCCTGGGTGGCGCTCAACTTCCACAATACGCCCAACGCGCATATCTAACCGACCGACATCGACCGGACCTTCACCGCCTGCACCAGACTGATTACCGGATTTGGTCTCCTTAGATTCACCTTTGCCACCTCGTCCTCCTGCACCACCTGAAGACTTGGCCTGTTTAGCCTCATGTGCATGAGTCTTGGGTTTGCCAGTTGCTTTAGGAGCTAATCAATCCGAGGGGAATGACAGAAACAGTGAGATAATGGGCCAAGCCGCAGTGGATGAAGATCAACGGATGGGATTCATCGAATAGTACCAAAACATCAGAGGCTTATCGAGTATTTAGAAAGTAAATAAACTGCAAAGTGATGAAATAAATGGTCACCGAGATTTGAAACTCAATACGGACAATCGAAGCCGAGTGGAAAAAGCAGATATCATTGCACAGCGAAGTAGTATGGAACGAACTTAGCATGCAGAGCGGTGGCCTATCGCATCACACCTTTCAATTAGATCAAGGCCTCTGCATACATAAACTATGTACTCTGCGTACCGACCATAAAAAATCACCTTCCTTCGAATCAAGTCGACTCCCGATTCGCCTTACGCTCTGGTATTTACTTAGTTTCAGCAGTGTTCCGCGAAGTTCGTTTCATTGTAGTTCGCTGTACGCTGCTGATGACGACGATGACGATAATGAAGCTGACGATAACGATTAAGTTTGCTGATCGTTGTCAGTTTCGCTTATTGGAATTTGATGGATTCATACTGTCAAGGAGTTTAATCGCTATGCAGCTGGAATACAAAGTGAAGATCCATCTACTTCGAACGAGTATTCTATTTGTTTGATAAACTGTTCGACCCGAGTTGAACCCTCAAATTTAGGGATCAGGGGACCGAAAGGTTTGGAAAGAAGATGCGCAGTCGAAATTGCCCAAATGTTATCCCGCTCTTGTACCCTAGACCTTATGTTTCTTGAGCAAGTGAAACGCCTCCGAGTGAGTCGATACGGATGCCTCTCTCTCGCTGTTCCCTTTGAATGCAGGTACTTTACAAGGTTCCATAATTGAACCCATTTTCTTCTATAGAATAATGATTTGCCCAAAACCAGTTTGATGCATAGTCTCATCGATGGTTTCGCTCGCGATCCAAAGTCTGATCAACACCAACAATGAGAAAATAATGCCTTGTCACTGCATCATTCAACTTTCCTGGCCCGTGAACGTTCAAGAGATAATTCGTAAAGTTAGAGAGCTGCCACACGCATCCTTCCGATAAAAAGCCTTCTTTTCAGCAAACAAAATTATTAACAAACGTGTGAGTGTTTGCACGCTATTCCACTGGTTATACTGTTCACAAGTTACTGCCCTTAGTCTGTTGAAGAAAGACCCTCACTTATTGGAGAGATTCCTAACACAAATTTTAAGTATACTAACAACGTATCTGTTTGATTTCGTAAACAAATTATTTCATTCATTTTATTTCAATCCAGTTCGTGGATTCTATATTTGCATATATATCATAAGACGCCATAGATTCATCCCAAGTTCATAAAGCTGCTATTCAAAATAATTACAATTGGAACGTTAATACTGCATCGCGTGCTTAGGGTTTCCAAACTCCCGTTGCCCTCTTTATTGACCCTCAAACATATTCCTGATTTTCGTCTAATTGAATTCTAACCGGATGGTGTTTCGTGATATAGGTTCAATCCCGGATTTATCTAATGATTCTTCTCTCCGTCTATATCTAAGTTGGTACCAAGTGCAGTGCATAAAGTTGGCTTCTTATGCCCGTCCAACTTATACTGTTGCACAAAGTTCGAATTGCCTTTGGAAAATTTAAAACTGCTATCATATGTGCAGCTGTTTAGTTTTCACAATCGTCAATCTTGCACTGTCGCCGGACGCGAACCGGGAGGCAGCAAAAGATGTTTACCATCAAGTTTGGGCAGCGGTGCCTGGTTCAAAATATAAAACCGAATCCAGCTCATGACATAACCAACGTACTGGCCTGGTCACATTCAGACACGGAGGCTTCCCAGTTTAGTATCCAAACCGTATGATGTGGCCGATGTATCCGTAACAATTCTCACAACTTGGTAATATAAACAAAAGCCTAGTGTGGTTTGGGTGATCGAGTACTTCAACAGCCTACAGAGCGTAGACACGAGGACAAAATTTACACCATTTTTTCCTATTCCGTCTCCAACAGGTACATCGCTGACATTCTGCATGATCGATGTTACATGTCAATTCGCATGTAAGAAAAATCCAGACATTCATAGTATTAAACAAGTTCAATACATTTGCAATTCGAAAAATGAAATAAATAAATATTGGTTGCTAGAGTTATAAATTAACTTTTGTCAAGTGACATACGATTACACAAAAAAATAAACTGGAAGCAAAAGTTGAGTACAACAGCGGGTTGTCGCTAACCTGGAACAGTCTGCCCCACTGCATGTACTACCGGTGATGGTTCGGGTGGATTTATGGAAACCGATTCTGTTTTCACCTTTTGATCTGGTTCAGTGACTTTCCTAACTGGAACTTTATACTGCAGAACTAGGGGGAATAAATCAATGTATGAATAATACGAACTTACCCCCGAACCGGAGCTCCTGTTTTATAATTTTCTCACGTAGACTTTCTATTTTGGATTCTAGTGTACTATTTTCTTGACGCAATTGATCTTCAACATATCCTGCGGTTTCGGGAGAGACTAGTGAGCGCAAAACATTGATTTCAGAACTCAATGCTTCAATTCTCGATAGTAACTTTAAGCCACTAAAAATCAAAAAACGACCGAAAGGTAAAAGCACAACATAATTTTAACCACACGCATGACAACAAGTGATACGCTTTCTATAAGCTGGTGCTACGGTGCATTTAAAGTTATGATAATAATCTGAGCTTGGAAGTCGATTTCAATTTTGATGCGTATTAGCCTACCTCATACAGTTATGTGATGACGTTCATGACCGGCGACTTCAGTCTGTAGTGGTGAAATAAATATGACACCCATAGGAGAGGCGTTGTGTTCAGTCGGACGATAGAAAACCCGCCTATTGTTTCAGTTTGAACAATCAGCAACCGCGCACTTTCATACTGCAGTTTTGGTTGCTGTCTCTCAGCTACCCATGCGGATAAAAGGGTGGAAAAACGATTGAAATGTTGAAAGCAATGTAAGGGTGAAAATTTATGTGGACTAAGGTTGCAGGGACCATGAATACATGCATGAGCGCCACTGTTTACCACACATAAACATATCACTCGGTGTCTCCAAATATTGGTTGCGCTGATCCCGAGGTCTCCATCCAAGAAACCGAACGCGACCCGTATGACCTAGTCTCCTGGCTAGAGCTTTTATACCCTCATGTCACGTTGTAGTTGGACCACGGTTGAATTACTCTATTCACTACCTGATTTGGCAAACATCGAACGTCATNGGTGGCCTGAGTAACATATTCTCCCAGAAAGGTAAGCAATGGAGGTCGGCCACTTGTCCCAGGTGGGTGATAGCAATTTTCAAAATCTGAGCGTTTAACTTCAGCATTGCTTGTCCGGTTTTCCTATCCAAAGTCAAAGCTTTATTATGGGGAATACTTACAAGCGNCATAGGGTTCTTCACAAAACTGGATCGATTTACGGATCATAGAGAGAGGGAAGAAATGTCACAGATTTACATTGTTTCGTGTACCGCGACAGATTTCGAAATTTAAGACATGACAATGTTTCATTCATTTGTGTTTGAATTGTGAGCGCAGAAACAACGTACGGTGATACAGAATTCCAAATACTGCAAACTCTGAGGGCCAATGAATGATGTCGGCATTTTTGGACCAATAATTTCGATAAGTGACCCTTGAGGAGAGTGTTGGACGACAAGGCGAACAGTGAACGATATGGGTGATAAGGGTGTTGCATTATTTGACACACCAAAATCAAGTCCTCTAGAATTCGGCAATAGTGCGTGGAGTGCAAACCAAATTATTCCAGTCTTCACAGATGTTCTGGAATATAGTCCCTTGACCATTCTTTGTAGACCTTCCAGAATCCCACGATCGGGTTGCAACCATCAATTCCACGCTTGAACTGCATACTCTATGTGAGGACCTATGGACCTATGCTGATAGAATCAGGAAGTGATCCATAAACTCAAACTGTGGTGGTGAGTTGTAGAAGAAATTCTTCCATTTCACCCATTACAAGTCTCCGAATTCCGTAGTTGTGCAGTTTCCGCAGCAATATTTTACGGTTCATTCGGTCAACTGTCTTGGAAAAGTAGAGATACACTACGTTCACTGCATCACCAAGATCAAATGCTTTTGTCAACTCCTCTCGGGCCAGAAGCAGGTTAGCGGTACATTATTGCCTGCGACGAAACACATGTTGCATCGGCGATAAAACGTATTTTACCAAGAGACTCATCACATTGTCTACAACAACAGATTCCACCACTGAATAATGCAGGGAGGAGAGTAACAGGGCGGTATCCAACTAGGGCACCACGACAGCCATCTTTGTATA